AAATCTTGTCTGGCTCATCGAGTTCTTCTTCAATGCCTTGGTAAAGTAGGTAGGTCCTCCAGGCTACTTCTCTCCAATACCGTCCAAACGCCTTCCGAGAAACTATAGATACATTCTTCTTTTTGCACAGTTCTTTCCCCCAAAAGTATGCTAATGATTTGTCAAACACCTTTCCCTTGATCATCTCAACATCTTTTCGCATTTCCTCAGCTATCCTTCTTTTCATTCTTTCTTCTACTCCCTTCAATCGTTTCACTCCATTCCTATAACTCTCGTCCCTTTCTATGTAATCTTCCCACCTCTCTTCTTCTCTTCCCTTTTTCTTCTTAATATTAACTACTCCTCCTTCTATACTATTATGATATACTGGAGCAACTAATTCTAATTCTCGTTCTTCATCGAATCCGTCCACATACAACTCATATTCATCAATCTTCGTCATATCGAGGGACACATTCGTCAGGGATACTGAATTGGTCATCTTCGAAGTCCAGTTTGGGATAATATTCTCCATCCCAGGTATGTTGTCATTGTGGCTTGTGTTTGAGTCTTCCTTGTTCCCAGAGTTCTCTAATTTGTTGCTGCTGATATCTAGTTCCCCACCATGTGTGAAGGTATCCATTTCGTATGAAGTAAGGGACTTGTCTACCATTGATTGTGGCATATTGGCAGCAATTGTTGATGTTGTTTGGTTCTGGTTCAGGCATGGTTTGTTGCGGTACATAGCCATCATGTTGACTTCGAAGTTCTCTCCAGATGATTCCATTTTCTGACTCCAATCCTCCCATGGTCTCTGGATCTGGCTCTTTTCTTGACTGGTCATCATCTTGGTCTTCTTCTTCATTTTGTTCTGCAGCTTCCTTCTCAGCTGTCCCTTGATCATGAACTGGGAATTGGATGATTCCTCCATAGGCATCGGTGATGAGGTATTCATCAGAATGGGCATCGATGTCATCCCATAGTCCACTTGTTGTTGATGCTGTTTCTTCAGTTGATTCTGAATCGACTCAGGTATTTGCTGTAAACCTGCGTTTTTTAGATATAAGAGCGGGCAATACGTTGCATGGGGATGATTTGATCAGGTGATCGTCGA